TGGTAGTTTTAATTACAATTTATGAAGATTTTAATTTTGACTATTAGCGAATTTCATTAAAACTTTTCTAATATTTATAGGATTTAAAAAAAGAAGCCAAAATCATTTACTTTTAACAAAAGTTCTTGTTTTACAAACCTCAAAATTTCTTTAAAGTTTCCTAGAAATCATTATTAATTAATAATTTATGATTAATTTCCTAGAAATTAATTTTTATAGCAAATATTCATTAATTTATTTATTTCACAAATTTAGTTTCACAGGGGCCTGATGGCCGAATAGCTACAGCTCTGGTGCTCGGTACCACTTTCGGGTTGGAGTCAAGGTGGTGCCATGGTTGTTTATAGTGGTTCGGAATCCACTTTAAACCGTAGGTCCCGGTCTCAGAGGATCGTAGAGCATTGTGGCGGTAGTGTGACTCGCTTCCGTAGTATATATTCGAGCTACACTAACCTCCTGTGTAGTGCTAAGTGAGTAACGTTAATGCAGCCCTTTCTTATGGCATAATAGATGAACTGTCTCCGTATTTCCAGCTGCATTAGCTTCATAGAAATTAGTAATTAATTTATTATAATTTCTATGAATTTAATAAATTAAGTTCATACAAATTATAGAAACTGTTCTTTTATAAGTTGAATTTACTTGTATTTTAAAGTAATCACTCGGCAATTCAAATTTATAATCACTGAATGTAAGATTATAGTTGGTATCGACCGAACCCTACATTCCGACGAGAATTATAGTCGACAAAAAGGCCGGAAAATGGAAATATTTCTTGTAAAATTGCAAACACATATTCTTGGAAAGGCTAGATAACTCAGGCAGACTTTCCGGGGAGAGAAAACGAGAAATGGGAACAAGTAGAGATTCAATTAATTATTCTTTGAAAAAGGGTTTCATTGTGGACTTTTGGTGGGGTTGGTTTTCGTATAGAGAGAGAAATTCAGAGATCAAGAAGTAAAAAGAAAGAGAAAGAGTTAGAGAGATACAGTCAACAGTCCAGGCGACAGACAGGCCATTTGCAGGCAGCTTAGAAGGTACCTAAACTTTAAAAGAACTTGTTTAACAGGACTTTACAGATTATTTTGTTTGCTCTTATGTATAATAGGCATAAACTATGGTGTGCTGTCTTTTTAAGAAATAATAAATATTGTCTGAGCTAAAGGTTTTATCTAATCATTTTAAAGAAAAAAGTGAGTATCTACCTACAGAACTAAATGTACTGGACCGAGGTAACTACACTTCCACCCCTTATCTTTACTTTCGAGATAGTATCGTTTTGGTCCTAGTACAGGCCATTCTTAAATCTCGTTTCAGTAAACTATTTCCCTTTGAAACTGTGCGGCCTGATGGCCAATTGGCTATCGCTATGGCCTTTGTTACCACAGATTTTCAGATTCGAATCCTGGCTGTGGCATGGAAGTGTGTGAGAGGTTCGGAATCCACATTAAACTGTAGATCCCGGTCTAATGAGCCTTACGTGCACACGAGATGACCGTAGAGCAACAAACCAAACCTTTGAAACAGTGAGGTTCATATTTTTTGTCGATGTCAATCAGCACATAATTAAGGATTTTAATCATTTACAATGAGAAATATTTTTACTGCAAACAAAAACCACCACCGAAATTACCTTTTCGCCCCCTATTACATCACTATGATTGAATCCATGTGATTTGCCCGCTTGCCAATTCCATACGCGATACCTGGTAGCAGTTTCTCAAAGTTGTTGTTGTTCTAATGCAGTTGGCAATACAGAGACAGTTCATCTTTATGCTACAAGCAATTGGCTGCACCACTGTTACTCCCTTAGCACTATTCAGGAGGTGCGTGTAGCTGGAAGATAGGCTACGGATGCTTGTAACACTACTCCCACTGCACTCTATGATCCTGTCAGACTGGGACCTACAGTTTAAAGTGGATTCCAAACCACTACAACCATCCATGGCACCGCCGGGACTCGAACTCGAAACCTGTGGTACCGTGGGCCAACCACTCGGTCATCAGGTCATAGTTTCTCAAAGTAATTGTTACGAATGTGCTACAATTTCATGGTATTAGTCATAATTTCGGTACTTAAACTTATAACGAACATTAATTGAGAAATTCAATCTCCGTAACAGCTTGAAAAACTTCAATTTCTATACAAAGAATGTAATTATTCGGTTGGAATTACAAAGACAAAAAATTTTTTTTTTTTTTTTGTCAGCAATAAACGCTCTATACAAAGGTAAAAGGATTCCGTGATAACCTCCTTTTTTTTCGTGAAGCAAACTCATGTTTTTTCCCCAGTTGTAAGATCCGGAGAAAAAGGGTGAAGCATGTCAGAAAGAAAGGTAAAAAAAGAGAAGGAAAGAGACATTTCTTCTGCAACCCGATGCGGGCCAAACGCCCATTGTGTCCGGTCGGCCATTGTCCCTCTCTCCCGTAACTAGATCTCGTTGCACGCATGGCTGGCCGGCCGACGCTCCATTTGACACAAGCCTTTTCCTCTTCCCCATAGCTTCTTCCTCGCAACCACTACTACTGATGGGTTTGGGAATAAATCAATGGAAGCAGTAAATGCAAAGAGTTCTATGTGATGGATATTATTGCTAAATTAGTTATTTTAGTCTTTTATAAATGATATATAATCATTTATAAAAGAGCATTAGTTATATATGTATAGTTATTACTAACCAACTAATAACTAACTATTATAAATGTAGTTACTTTAGCATTTAAGTTATATATGATCTTTCGTATATCGTATATCTTGCATATCGTGTATTTCTTAAATAGTATCCTTTCGTATATCATATATCGTGTATTTCGTAAATTGTATCATTTTGTATATCATATATCGTGTATTTCGTAAATCGTATCCTTTCGTAAATAGTATCATTTCGTATATCTCATATATGGTGCATTCGTAAATTGTATCCTTTCGTAAATAGTATCATTTCGTATATCTCATATATGGTGCATTCGTAAATTGTATCATTTCGTATATCTCATATATGGTGTATTCGTAAACCGCATCCTTTCGTATATCTTGTATATCGTGTATTTCATAAATCGTTTCCTTTCGTAGATCGTGTATTTCGTAAATAGTATCCTTTCGTATTTTTCATTTCGTATTTCTCACATCGTATTTCGTAAATCGTATCCTTCATTTCGTATTTCTCATATCGTATTTCGTAAATCGTATCCTTTCGTATATCTCATATATCGTGTATTTCATAAATCGTATCCTTTCGTATATCTCATATATCGTGTATTTCATAAATCGTATCCTTCCGTATATCTCATATATGGTGTATTTCATAAATCGTATCCTTTCGTATATCTCATATATGGTGTATTTCATGAATCGTATCCTTTCGTATATCTCATATATGGTGTATTTCATGAATCCTTTATAATTTACCCTATTTTCACCATTTATTAAAAAATTAAATTTAACCCCCATTCTGTGTGCAGGTATTTATATTTACGAAACTTTCATCCGCAAAATCCCTTTTAAAGCTTAAGTTGCCTCAGAGGGGAAGCGAATTTTTCATCCGTGATGCTTTTGAGTTCAAGATCTGTGCAGCTCCACGGTTACTTCTGTTTAAAGTAGTTCAAGAGAGAATTGGACACTTTAGTTAAAAACCCACAGAAATTTTGTTAAAACATAATATGTAGTAAGAAATCTATTTTAAACACACTTCATAAGCAGAGAAACTAAATTCTTGTTATTAGACCTATTTGAGTTTATTGTTCTGAATTCTCTCTGAACTTGGACTTTGGCAAGATCTGATGAGGCCCATTTGAGAAGGAAGATTTCAAGGGCTGTTCTTGGAGGTGTTAGGGAAAGCGATGGTTGGAGAAGACGGTACGACGCTGAAATACATAAATGCTGTAAAGATCCAGAGAGTATAAAATTTATTAAGATCAAGAGATTCAAATGGGATGATGATGTATTTAGAATGAATGATTGAAACCCTGTAAAAAGGCTCGTTTTGGCAAGGCCACAGGGACAAAGAGGAAGAGGACGACCCAGGTTGAGATGGATAGACGCAGTTGAGAAGGACTTTGCTGTACTAAATGTTAAGAATGGGAGGACCCCTGTCACCCAGAAGGATGCATCTCATCATCATCATCAATAGCACAATACCCCAGAGTGGGGCATTGTGCTATTGATGATGATGATGAGATATGTTCAGATATAAATTAAAAAAAAAAAATAGTAAAAGCTATTTTTTATTTCTTCTCTAGCCCATGCTTTTGAAAATATCCAGGCAGTATCCAGGCAGTGCCATCTACGCTTGAAAAATAAAATAAAATAATACTTTAAAAATGTCAAATAAAGCTGCTGATGATTTCTATATTATTTTCCTTATTCATTGTCCAAAATTAATTGACGAAAGAAGGTCTAAGGTTCAAGCCCTGGTCAGTTAACCATGCCTATTTGATATCCGTCAACACCGTACACATTATCTCAACAGCGCATGGCTACATAGATTCGCTCATGAGGCCGTACCCCAATTCGAACTTCCCCTCGCCCCATTCCACCCCATAGAACACACTCCATTCGCGCCACCCCAACCATGAACCACCCTCCTTCACATGACCTGGAGGGAGAGGGGGGATCCTGTTGGGGAGGGGAGCGGCCAAACGACAATTCCCTCTCCCCTCCCGTTTCATTTGTTCGGTGGGGGAGGGGGTCTCTGGAAATAAGAAGCCGGTAAAACAAATACCGGTTGCGCCACGTGACCAGATGTTCCCCCGGCAAAGGGAGGGCTCAAAGGGTTGAGGTGGATCCTCACTCGACCCCGCGTGCGACACAGAAATCGATATGAGGGTGGTTTAAAAGGGGCGGTTAAAAAACGGCAGCTGTTTAAGCATAATAGAGTGAGGCTTGGAGGTTCACGTTCATACTACCATGTCCAAAAAGTAAGACCAGTTTTCAATTTAAAATTACTTGGGCTTATGGAATCTCATTTTTTTTTCTTTTTTAGGTTATTACCACTGTCCTGGGTTCTCGTTAGATCACCGAAGTCAAGCATCATTGGGCGCGGTCAGTACTTGTGTGGGTGACCACCTGGGAACACCGCGTGCCGTTGGCATTCACAAATTTGGGACCTGAATGGCCGAGTGTCTAGCGCTCTGGCGCTCGGTTCCACAAGTTTCGGGTTCGAATCCCGGCGGTGCCAGGGATGTTTGTAGTGGTTCGGAATCCACTTTAAGCTGTAGGTCCCGGTCTCCTATGACTGTAAGAGCGTCACGTAGCCAAAAGTCAGACTTCTACCTACGGGTGCTCCATCACAACAGAAGCTGCTTCCTTCCCCTTCAATCATGAGTACGTATGGGCTCGTGGGCTTTTCCAGCCAAGTGGGATAAGAAACAACAACACCACTGTCCTTTACATCTGTGTGAAATTTGACGTCAAAATATTCATTGGTGTTTGTGTTAAGCATGGCTTGATTGATTCCGGCGATTCTTGAAATGTCTGAATTCATTGCGCGAAGAACGTGCATTCAATTGTGTTTGCGGAAACGTAGAGAATGTTGCAGAAGGCATTCGGTGAGCATTCCTATATCGGAAAGAAATGTTTAGAAGTGGCATAAACAGCTCAATGAAGGCAGAGAACGCGCTGAAGACGAAGAGCCCTCTGGTCGAACCTCCGCCTCAACCGACGAAGGTGTTTGCAAACCGTCTATTTACAATTAGAGACCTTGCTGATGATGCCGGAATTTCAAAATTCCATTTTAAAAGATGTTTTGGGCCTCAAGCGCGTCAAATCTCGATTGATACCGAAAACACTGTTTTTTTTTGCAAATAATTCATTAATTCGAAACAGATTAGATTAACATAAAATGTTTTGTCAATGGCGGGTAGCAATAAAGGACATCTTGGGTCAGAAGACTTTTACCATCCTATACAGATTTGGTATCACAGACTTCAAGTTCGAATCCTGACGGTGGCACGGATGTTTGTGAGGGGTTCAGAATCCATTTTAAGCTGTAGGTCCCGGTCTGCTTAGCCTAAAGTGTGCACAAGATGACTGTAGAGTGACGAACCATCCTATACAGAATAGGGGATGCATACAAATATATAGAAAAAAAAAACAAAGGAATATCCTTTTGTATTCCTTTGATTACCACGGAATATCTTTATATATCCTTGTTACATGGCTGTTCCAGATGTCAAGCTGGAGCTGTTTTATTTTGGAACTGAATCGGCCTTTTTTAATACGCTTTTATTAGTTTCCCCTGTATGTTTGTATGTATGTAACTGACTTTTTCCCCTGGAGATCAGTACCCAGTACCCTGGACCAGTTGATTCTTTTTAATACGCTTTTATATTAGTTTCACCTGTATGTTTGTTTGTAACTGACTCTTTGGGCGCGATTTTCCCCTACTTTAAGCGATAGCCTTTGTTTTACTCACAATTACATTATTGTAAGAACTATAGTTCCACTTCTCCATACCTCCATATCATTTAAATATTATAGTTTAAAAACACTAAAAAACATGCTTTTTGAGTTAATCAAAGTAAAATGTAAAAAATAAATGAATAGTTTAAAAAAACTAAAAATCACGCTTTTAGAGTGAATCAAACTAAACAGTAAAAAATAATTTAACTTAAGAATAAAATGTCTGACGAGAAAAGGAATGTCACTGTTCTAAAAGCGTGGGGTGCTTTGAAGTGACATTTTAAAACTAACTCTGCATTTCGGAATGAAACGAGTGAAAAATGATAACGATTGATATCGAGCACCTCGCACTTTTAGAACATTCCTTTTATTCTTAAGTTAAATTATTTTTTACTGTTTAGTTTGATTAACTCTAAAAGCGTGTTTTTTAGTTTTTTTTAAACTATTCATTTATTTTTGTGTAGAATCATTAGAAAAAAACAGCCCTTGAGATACAAAAAAAAGGAACGAATTGAATTCGTAAATCGAGATAGGACTGTGTGGACATTTCATTAACCGTTTGAATTCAAATAGAGTCGTCTGAAAATGCTTCGGACGTCATGCTGTCATCGTGCACAAAGCGTCGGAACACGTGGCACCTTCTCACCCCCCATCACTCCAGCCAATCATCGCGTCCCACCCCCCTGTGACAAAGGGTGCAGTTTCGTTCCATCCTTTTTTCGAGTTTTTGTTCCCTGGTTTTTTTTTTTTTTTTTTTGCTTTCTAGAGCGCCAACGGATGAGTCAAACAAGAGGGGGTTAGGGGTGGAGAACATGGAAAGGGATGATCGGGGGTGCGTTCAACTCCTCTTTCCGGAATCGGACAGGAACAAAGAGCACCTGGTAATCGTTTGATGCCTTGTCACAGAAAGATCATCAGTGAAAAAAAAAAAGTCGTGTATTTGATGCATAACAAAACCTGTGATAAAACCTCATATGACACTGTTTTGAACATTTTTGAGGGTGGCTTTTTAATTGAAAACGATGAAACCATAATAGCACATTATAATGAAAGCGCCCCTTTTATTCGCAATGCAGTGGTTATCAACAACATCAGTCTTACATGGAATGGGTTTAAATAAATTTATAGATGTGCCAAATTTGATCCAATACCCATGAAATAATCGCATACAGACAATCTTGCATAATTATTTTTTCCTTTTAAGTATTTTCTTTATTATACTTTGTTTGTTTTTAACTATCAATAATACATATAATACTCGTTTTGTCTTTATTGGTCTTCCGAACCGCAATTACCACATTCAATCATTAATAATCCAACATTTCTTTTTACATACTATACTATCGCCGATACAACCACGATATCCCCCACTTTTACACTATAACATCTCGACCCTACATCGTACGTCTCCTATGACCGTACAGCGTCACGGAGCGAAATCGACTTCTTCTCACCCACATCATTCCCAAACTATACAGGGACAACTCAGTTCTAGGCACAGTGATTTGGTGTGATGTGGTATAGTAGTAGAAATAGTAATAGCTTTACTTTAAGCCGTAGATACCGGTCTAATATGACTATAGAGCGTTGGGCGTATTGCTGACTAACCTACCCCGTAAAAAAGTCAACATCACGGAGCCAAGTGAGACTTCTACCTACGGGTGCTCCATCACAACAGAAGCTGTCCCCTTTCCCTCCATCCATGAGACTAACTGGTTCATGGACTTAGTCTAGATGACTATCAAGTGGGATAAGAAACAACACCACCTTATTTTGTGACTGGTGCCGTTTGGTTTGTCGCTCTATGGTCATTTTGGCCACACTTTGGCACATTAGACCTGGGCCTATAGTTTAAAGTGGATTCCGAACCACTCACAAACATACGTGCCCCCACCAGGATTCGAAGCTGAAGCCTGGGGCCAGAGAGCTAGCTAATTGGACATCAGTCTGCTAAAATGTGACAGAGAGCTAGCTAATTGGACATCAGTCTGCTAAAATGTGACAGAGAGCACATCACTTGATAATATCCTGTCAGCAACACAAATTTCGTATAAAATTTTAATACAATATAACAATATATTATAATAATATTCAATAACTTTTAACCGATATTTTTCCTTATTAAAATTTACCCAAACTAAACATTTTTTTTAATGTAATCGAGTCATATTCTACAAAAAAAGTGTCCCTAAAGGTTTTGCCAAATTTTAAAAAGAAGTTATGCTTGTTGAATATATAAAAACTGAAATGCTTTTATTTAAAACGTATTACAAATAAAATGCTTTTTACGTAAAATATGTTTTTTATCTCAATCCATTTAATATCAGTAGCTTATTAAGATTGATATACGATTAATCTATATATCGTATACCGATACGAAAACTGTATACGATATGATTTTTGATTTTACAAGTACGACACATTCACATATAAAGAAGTTCATAATATTTGTAATATTTTTAGCACATTCCGACAAAATTCAATTAAAAAAAGCTCCCGTGATTATCTGACGAGTTTCCCTCACAATGGAATACCTATTTCTATATTTAGAAGTATGTATCTCCGTTTTGGCTTCACGTGATCTAAATATTTAAATCGATGACGTCGACCGTGACGTCAGAAAGGGAGCTTCTGACGTCATCTCTACTACTCGCAAACCTGACGTTCACAAAACGTAAAAAGAGATTGTTGCCTCACAAAATTGGAAACATTATAATTACATTTTTTTTTTACCTATAGGACAAAAAGTAGAAAAAATTTTTTTTTTTTTTACTAGAACCACTACATTAATAATAAATAGCTTCAGATAATTAAAATGATGAAGAAAATATTTATGTTTGGTTTATTAATTAACTGTAGCAATTCTTTCGGCTTACAATTAAACTTGTCATAAACTGGAGTAAATTACTTGCATATTTTATTTATTTATTTATTTTTTCATGTAAAAAGCTAAATGACAAAGATAATAACCAACCTAAATTTTACTAACTATAAAAATTTAATTAAAATATATATTTCCAAATAATAGATAATAATAAATGAAAATTGAAATAAATTTTTAGTAAAATGTAAGATCCTATATGTTTTGAAAGTATGGGTGTTTTGTAGCTTGGTTTGGGTTGTCGCTCTACGGTCATTTTTTGCACACACTAGATTGATTAGACCGGGACCTACAGTTTAACGTGGATTCCTCACTCTTCACAAACATCCACGCCAACGCCAGGATCCGAACCTGAAGCTTGTTTTACCAAAGGCCCCAAGGATCTGAGCAGATACCAATGAACTTTTCCCATAAGAAATAAACAATTCATTCTCATGAAAAAATTATAATTATTATTGTCATGTTATATGTACAAAATAACTGAGCCTGAATGGTCTGGTGTCTGGTGCTCGGTGCAACAGGTTTTGGATTCGAGTCCCAGCGGTGCCATGGATTTTTGTGGTAGCTCGGAAATAGCTTTAAACTGTAGATCCCGTTTAATAGGTCTAATAAGTTTCATCTGGTTTGTCGCTCTACGGTCATTTTGTGCACACATTAGGCTCATTAGACCGGGGCCTACAGTTTAACGGGGATTCCGAATCACCTACCAACATCCATGCCACTACCACGATTCTAACCTGAAGCCTGTGGTACCAAAGGCCAGAGGGCTAGCCAGTTGGCCATCAGGCCGCTGGTTATTATGTAG